ATATATTGCTTCGATTACATTTAAATGAAGAAAATCTAAATCGATATTTTTGCGTACTCAGCAGTGTACTCTGCCGCACGAGAAACATTTTATAATGCGGGCGTCTCCCGAAAGAATTCGGCCGTTCGGCGGCGTTCAGTTCGGAGAAAATGGAAATCCCTCGTTTCGCCGGTTCGCGTTTCTATTTTCGCCGACATTCGTTCACCCGTGCAAATGCGTGCGCCTAGTATCGACAACATGGGCAGGCATGAATATCGACGAGAGCGGCGAGAGAAGTTGACGGCGAGCGGCCGCGATATTTGTCATAAAATATCGAGAGGTGTGCTCCACTCGACACATGGGAAATGGGAGATCGATAGCGTGGGACATAATAAAATCAAGAAGTTGCTCCAGAGACAACAAATTGCGATGTATTCTTAAAACGAAACATCCGCACTCGTTTCGAGGACAGAAAGAAAAAATAAAGGAGTGGAAGCGGAGAAAAATCTCTTCTCTCTCAAAGTGAATCAGTGAATAGTCACTGATATTAGTTATGAGTATAACATTGAGCACTTTCAGTGCAACACTTATAACTGCAATCAGTGTATATACACTTTTTTCAGTGATGTTTGACTGATTCATTTTAAAAGAGTTGGTTATTAGAAGTATGTTTGCTGTTTGATGATCGTTAGGAAAACAGTTCGAACAGTTATCATTGCAACTAGTATTTTGATAAATTAGCAAAATTCTTTTGATATTTTAGGCTTTCGTGGTGTCCATGCATATTAGATTTGGTTTCTGTGTTTGAGCCGAGTGGATTCTTCTTTATTTGCTTTCGATGTTTCGCGAGTATTTCAGTCTTAATAATAGCAAAACTTTTTCTCTCAGTGTACACGGCGGGTAAAGCAGATACTCTTGTCGTTTTTTCCTCGGCGATTCGTTTTAAGATTCAAATGGCAACGTCAAGGGCCGCAAAATTCCTTAGCACATTCAAGATCGGGAGATTCGATTCAATGATTGCGCGCTTTCATTCTTCGCAGCCTGCGATATCTCGTTCGATTGTTCCCGACCATCTTCTTGAGGGAGATAAGGTTGTACCGGATATTAACTAAATTCTCTTTTGCTCTTGATCTTGCGCGGGTCGCGAAGGTTACACGCGCACATACACTTGACTCTCACGACGTGAGAATGGAGATTCAAGTTGCGAAGACAATGGAATACATAACGAGTGCATCTCGACGTGGCGCTCGAGTGTTATGACTCGCACACCATATGCAACTGTAGAAGTATAGCGAAATGTAAGGAAAATACAAGAAGAATATAAGGAAAATACAAGAAAAATACAAGAAAAATATAAAAGAAGACGCGAAAAGCCGGGGGATACGTTGAGCGAAGATACAAAGTCGTTACAGATCGCGGACTCATCATCCCTTTAATTAAATCCTAAGCTGAAGCCTAATCTAAACACTCGTTCCCGGCCGCTCACTCTTTCCATCGGCTGTCTGTTCTTCTCCTCTCCTCGTCTCTCGGGCCGCTAATCTCGCCCGTTAATTACACGAAATTGGAACCGACGGGCGAACGGCAGAGTTTTATCGTGTGCCGTACCTCTGTCTCCCTCGGGAAATTCTCTCTCGCCCCCTTCGAGACGCGACATCGATTGTAGCCGACGACCAACGGCAACGGGAGTTTCCTGTCGACTTGCGAAAATAGAATTTAATATCGACGTCGTCGGTGTAAATAGCCTCTGGTCTCCCTTTCTCGCTCTCTCTCTTTCTCTCTCTCTTTCTTTCTTGCTGACATGCTCTATCAGGGTCAGATAATAATCCTTACACGGTTTCCTCCGCCCACGTCGTTTCCATGCGGTAATCGCTCATTTAATATCCACCCGGGAGAGCCCCTAATCCCCGCGAAACGAGGACAAAAAGACGTCATCGCCGCCGCGAAGCCGTCTGCTCTTGGCCACGGGGTGGTTTTACAACTACACACCGTGAACTACACACGCGCGCGGGGAGGGATGCAGCCAACTAACCTTGCTAACTAACCGTCGCCAAGATTTACCGAAGCAGACCCTGGCCTGAACCGGAAAGGTACTCTATTTAGAAGCGACGATCTCTCTCTCTCTTTCCTTCTCTCTCATTCTCTCTCTCTCTCTCTCTCTCTCTCTCTCTCTCTCTCTCTCTCTCGACTATCGCGCGCTCAGACTATGCCATATTATGCGCTACGGTAAACAAACAAAGGAGCACGCTAATTTCGTACGCGTAAACTCCACGTAACTGTTGAAACGGCGAATCAGCGAACACATACATACGCAAACATACGTGCTCGCACACACACGCGTGGGAGGGAAGTAGTTCTTATATTGTTTTAACTGACGTTAAAATGACGGATTATTTCAGAGCGCTAATTACTATTGCCAGCTGTTCGATATAAAGCTATTTTTTGTCCAAGAGAATTTTTACATTTACTTTTTAATGCATTAAGATTCTGTCAAAAGAGCGTTTTTTAGTTAAAATTTTAGCTTTTTTTTACTTTCGGTTTGGAACTTTCTAACATCTGTATATTCTTGAGGATCAGTGTATGTTTGATAGACATGAAAATTAAGTAAGTCCTACTAAGTAGTTCTACTTAGCGTCTCTGAGTGGCAAGAAACGCATAAGATGCCACTTGTAACATCTAAAGTGACCTCTCGACAAAATTAGTAAATTAATCCTAAAACCCTAGACACTAAAAAGTTACGTAAATTTTAAACATGGGTTTTTTACCCAATGTATCTTCTTTTGTTCATAACTCCCGGAAAAATGATCAAAATTTAATATTTTTTTTATCACAATTTTAAAACATATTTTCAAGAACAGTGAGGTTTGAAAAATTGGCCTGGGTAAATTTTATCCATGCTTAGAGTTTTAAAGTTTAGTAGACTCAAAAGAAGTTAATATTAGCTTCAGAGTGTCAAAGTAGACGTTAAATAAAATATTAAGGTTGAAAGTAAGATGAAAATCTCGATTCGAGTTTTAGCAAGAAAAAGAGAAGAGGCAACAAGCGAAAAAGACCACAAAGACTATTTGCACTTTTCTCTCTCTCTCTCTCTCTCTCTCTCTCTCTCTCTCTCTTTCTCTCCCTCTCTCCCTTCCTCTTTCTCGCACAGTCGAACTTTGGTTTCCGACGAGTTGTGTTTCGAGGATCCTCAAAGTAAATACCGCTAAATTCGCCGTGCACGCGAAGCATGCTCACGGGCGTGCGTTATGCGCGCCGGAATTCTGGCGCGGTCGTGATTCTGCGCGCGACTCTGGAGCAGGAAGTTTCACGCGAGATGATTTATTAGTCATGATACGCGGACGAACTTGGCATGCCAAGCCGCCTCCGCGTCACAGCTGCGTGTACTAGTCGATTCGCGTAGGTACTACTTCTCTGTGCGATAGTCGCGGCTCTAATGAACGACGCGCGGTTTAGGCGGTCTATTTGCTTTGCGGCACGAGTGACGAGGCTCGTATGTCGGCTACGACGGCGGATTCTCAAGGTTGTTCTTCGATTCGCGCACGGTTGGAGACTCGGTGCGCCCTGCGGTCCAATACAAATGTTTGGTCGAATGCTGGGTTTCTCCCCCAGCTGGACAAAGTAACTTGCCGAACAAATATTGCTCTGCGGTAAAGGTCTCGGGGAAACCTCCGACACACTCCCTCTTTCTCTCTCTATCTTTTCCTCCTCCTCTAATTCCTCTTTCTCTTCTTCTTCGCTCCTAAGGAATCCGGAACTCAACCCTTTTACTCATCGCGTAAGCAGCTTCTCGTGGATTATTTGTTTCTCGTCTTACGACCACGACGCTGGCTTTATTGACGAATATTCCCCAAATGAAATCATAATATTTCTGGATGGCACTGTTTCGTGAGACACGGAACGATTAGTTTCCGCACTCTCGAATCCGAGCCTGGCGGCCGCTCGTGAATCCGGTAACAGCTGCGAGCGATCCACACGTATGTATACACGCGAGCAAAGCTTCCCGCTCGGAATTTCGAAAGTCGGTTCCCGCGCGGACGAGGTCACTGTCGCGGGGAAATAAAGCCGCGACGAGACGATCCGCTAATGGAGTCGGCGAGCTTCGGAGGAGCGGTAGGAGGGAGAGAGACAGAGAAAATCAGTGCATCGGCGGACGACGATGCCATTTCCCGTGGACGTCTCGTCAATCGAGAAGTCTCAAGTTTGTTAGTGCCGTGCGAGTGAATGCAGACGATCCGCGAAGTTCCTTCGGCGAGACGTCTCGGGCAAGGTGGCAGATGTAGGTGCTCACGGCTTGCGAGACTCCCGGTCCCGCGAAACAATGACAGCCCCAGCAAGTCGTGTTTGCGTTTTGCGTGCTCTATTATTCCGGTTACCGTGGGGTGAGATGATAAATACGAAGTGTCCCGAGGGACGCATCTGCCAAGTTCCTGGAATGTATTACTCGGGTGATTTCACGTGGAAAAATAGTCACGCGAAAGCGGGCAGGCGCGAGGTCGCTGCTGGACGTTTAAGGTCACCCTGATGTCTCGACGGGAAAGGGAAAGAGAGGAAGAGGAGAAACGGGAAAAGGGTGAAAGTGAAGTCGAAATTAAGAGAGATAACACAAGTCGACGAGAGTCGACTGTGAAAAGCTACAAACTCACCGCTCGAGAAGAGCATCGGCTGAGTTGAGCGAGTGCAGAGAGAGAAAGAGAGAGAGAGAAAGAGAGAGAGAGAGAGAGACGCTTTGGAAAAAGTCAGCAAGTCGACTTGTAATTACACCGTATCCGCGCGAAGCTGCCGGAGATTATAAAAGAATGTAAAGTGCAAAGAGGGAAAAAAAACGGAAACAACAGACACAGAGCGTTCCGCGAGTTTTTAGGTCCGCGCTCTGCTTTACACGGGGCGCAAATGAAAGATACGCTGAAGCGAGATGATATCTACGTACGTCGTAATTGGGTACTTCGTGACATGCCGGCCGCACTCTCCCTTAATTACACAAGTGGTCTGCGTACTAATTACGGATACGACGTTCTGTGTTCTAGGTGAGGCGAGGACGTGAGGGTTGATCCGATGAATGGGGCCGAGCTCTGACAAAGGTATTGTCTAGAAATAATTTCGAGCGAACGGGAGTGGGGGTGAGGGAGATAACAAAAAAGAAAATTGCACGGGCGGGGAAGAAGGGCGCGATTATGCCCGTCATTTGAGCGCGAGGGAACTCGCGAGCTCTCGGGCGATCATTCTTTTCAGAGTTTCAAGCGGGATTCTCCGCCACGACGGGTGAACGTAACGCATCCTTCATTCGCAAGATACACTTCTCCCGCGAGAGATTGTTTCTTCAATTGAAGATGCAATGACCTCGGGCGTAGTACGTGCGTTTAGTTCGCGGTGATAAGGCTGCTTCCTCCTAAGGGAATCGCAAGTTGCCCACGAGGTCGACGCGAGATGTTTTTCTCCATGATGTTAAATGATTAGATAATCGTGTAATAATCGTGTAGTGGAAGATATTCTACTCTGAAATAAACTTAACTGAGCGCACATTGCACACGCGGAGGAAAAGATTTATTGAATTAACACGACAATAAAGAGAACCAAATTTTAGTTGACAATCATGGTTGACAATGAAGGGAACACGTATTTTGGTTCAAGGAAACAAAATTTCTGGCTTTTGTAAACTAAATTCATTCCTAAGGGTCAGAAATTCCTCCAATCAAAAAACCTTTGGTTCGTCCGTTGTCATGTTAATTCAATCTAGCTTTACCCTTCTGTCATACTAAAAATAAAAATATCTAAAAAATAAGAAATTTTTATTCAATGCACTAATAATACATATATATTAATGTGATATAATTAATTAAGAAAATATTATTAATATAATATAATTTTACATTGAAAATTTTTTGTTGAATCAATCTTACATTGAGAGAAAATTTTTTCTGAAATGAGAAAATATATGTTTTCGTCGTTGCGTATTTCACAAAAAAATAGTTTATTCTATTTAAATGAAAGAATTTAGACTCGAATAAATATCTTATCAGTTTTCCGCATACCGAATAAATTCCTTTTATTTTTTCTTTCGGTATACGCGCGTGCTCGATACTATGTATTAAAAGAGGAATTTAGTTGTCTCAAAACGAAAATTCCACACGTATAATTTGATTAAAACGTAATCAACCAAATGTTTGGCGATTGCAACGAAAAATTCAATCGCCGCTGTGTGTTGTGTTTTCTCAGCTATACATATACTTGATACAAGTGAAAACACGGCAATGCCAAACCCGATGTATGTAGCAAATATTAATTCAAAATACAGAGATAACTTGTTCAGCGTGCATTAACTCGAACAGCCACGCTTGATAATTACGGTCTCGTCGTTTGATACTAAGAGCTTCCGAACGAGTTTAAGTTTAATAAGCGAGAAGGAAGATGCAAAAAGAGACATGAGAAATACCACATTGCGCTGTTCATACCGTTCAGTCGTGCCGCTATTCACGCGATCCGTCGTCGCTCCACATTTCGGAAGATTTATCGAATTCGTGCACGGTATCGTAATATCTGAGAGGATACAATTTACGAAAAATACAATTCCGCGGTAAAGTCCACGATCCGTCGGACTCGATATCGTGCGCTGGGGAAGGATTAAGGCAATCTCTGTGGAATTTTCTCAAAGATCCGCGAGTTGTCGGCGGGGCCTGGGAATTCTATTCGAGTATCGAATTCCCGCGCTTCGAAATTATTCCGCTGGAATTACAGCTCGTTCGGTTAACGAGAGCGCCAGAGCCGATGAGGATTTGTCCGATTTCGTTGCGCTCGTTACGATCGTTTTTACGATCGCCGCTGGATCTGTCGGGTGATCGTGTTCTCGCGAGCCTCTCGGACAAACGTTCCTGATCCCTCTCATTTCCGCGGGCTCTTACATTTTTATTGCGAAATCACTTCTCACGAGAGATCGTCAAGAGAAGAGCCAATGTGCCGAAGCCGCTGAAAAATGTGCAGATTTTCGGTATTTTTCCGCATACACACGGAAAAAGGACTTCAGCTCCAGTGCAACTGGATAGGGACCAGACGAAGGGTTCGCTGACGAGGAATAATATCTTTGTTACTGTAACCGGAAATATTCGTCTGAACATTCGTCTGAAAATTCGGTTTAGATAACAGAAAGCAATTGACGGAGCAGAAACTTTCCACACTGAGAGAATTTTGTTGTCGAAACGAAAATTTCGTACATCAAAAATTTCGTTAAAATGCGATTAACTAAATGTTTGGTAACTGCAACCAAGAGATCTCATCGTCGTTCTATGTACGTTTTGCTTTCTCAATAATATACTTGATGCAAGTGAAAACATGGTAATGTCAACCGAATGTAGTAAATATTTTAGTTCCAAATGCAAAAATAATCTTTTCAGTGCACGAGAATCTTTCTGTTCCTACAGTCGAGTTTTCCATCTGCTCTCTAAATAATAGAAAGTCAGTTACACTAACGTTATTTTCCCCGCGTTGAAAAAAAGATTTGGTTGACGAAACTAAAATTTAATTAAAATGGGATCAATTAAATATTTGCTTATTACAACCAAGAAATTTAATTGAATTTTTTCATTTCGGCCCACTTTGAGTTTCACGGGCAGTTTATAGCTTTTTAATGTTCTCACTCCTATTATCAACAAGTGCAACAAAAATGCATAAGAAATAAAATTGAATACAAGATATAGTTAAATAATTTTAACAAAATCGACATAGAAACACGAACCATTCTAAATTTCTTTAGCCGAAATATTCCAACCGAAATATTTCAAATCTGTGCTAAATTAGTCAAAAATGGTTCGAATCTCGGCTAAGCCGAGAAATTATTTGTATAAATAATTTTTTTCAACTTTTTACATGTTTTGTTTAAACATTTTATTATTTATTCAAATAATTTTATACATTTGACTTCATAATCATAATCAGCAAACCAAAAACGCCTATATCTTGTATTCAATTTTATTTCTTATGTATTTTTATTGCACTTGTTGATGATAAGAGTGAGAACATTAAAAACCTATAAACTGCCCGTGAAACTCAAAGTGGGCCAAAATGAAAAAAATATGATCTAAGTATTTTTTGTACTTCTACATTTGTGCCAAATTAGAAAGAAATCGGAGTGTAACTTTTGGTTAGGTTTACTTGTATGTAAATATATTACTAAGGAAGTAAGGCAAAATAGCGGCAATTAAATTTTTTGGTTGTAATTACCAAACATTTGGTTGATCCCATTTTGAACAAATTTTGATTTCGTCAATTAAATCCTTTTTCAATGTATGTATACATATTGAGATTATCAGGTATGCCTGACAATAATGACGGGTTAAAGCTAATCGTGTCACGAGTATTACACTCTGTGTACTAAAAGGAATATTGGGCGTAATAAAGCTGACGTTTTCGACGTAAACTCGAAGCACTATCACGGAAATGCTAGGTGCCGAGCAAATATGTGCGTTTCGCACATATTCGATCGTTTGCCTCGCCCATGTTCGCACCGCGTATCCCCGGAGTACTTGATGCGTCCTAAGCTCCATGTTACGAGAGTATTTACGTGGATTTACGCCTGAAACTACCATCCACGACGTTGCCGTTGAATCTTCGGTCACGCTAGATTTCCCGCCTTTCCACTTGCTTCCGCCACCGCGAGGAAGCTCTCTGTCCTCCTTCCTCATCCCGAACTTGCGAGCTTTGCCAGCTCGATGGCCTCTGCGCGTATCTCTTCTCGGAGAAGTGCGCGGTAAAGCGCATAAAGCGGGAAGCACACACTCTTGCATAAAGACATAATGCACAACGCATAAGAAAATTGACCATTCAGAATCCTCATTTCTATTGCCACGATGAAAATAAAGGACTTTAATTACTCAATTTTTTTATGCGTTATGCAAGAGTTTATATACTTCCCGGAGGAAATGCGGCACACGGTGCGTGAGATTAACGCAAAATGCGTTCTATGGGAAATAAGAAGGGGTGACAAGGGGACGTGACTGCGTGCGAGAGGGAAGGAGTTTGCAGAGAGAGAGAGAGAGAGAGACATTTCATTTCATATCTGACGTTGTGTATTTCCGCTGTGCAAATCTTCGAGTATTTGCCTCCGCATTTCCCTCAGTAGAAAGAGACACGTTCGAGAGGAGGTCGATCTCTCGTACGTCTTTACAAAGGAGCAAACGTTGGGATAGCGCAAGTGTCTCTCCTCCTGCTCCTCCTCCTCCCCCTCAGTACAGAACACGGCGTCTCGTGTCACACCGGGTGACAAAGGAACAAAGGACACTACGGAGGAATTAGATCGGGGCGACATTAGCCCCCGCGATCGAGAATGGAAAATTCGCAATGTGCGCGCGGTTTGACCACTCGAGCAAGCTTACGTCACGCTTTCAGAGTCCTTCCGATGTCTGGGCTTGCGTTTAGCGCAATCCGGCGCCAAGAGCGTGTCAACAGAGTCTCCTTTGTTTTTCGTTTCGTTTTCCTCGCTATGTAGGAGGAGGGAAGTTCCTGGCGTCCCTTCCCTCTCTCTCTCTCTCTCTCTCTCTCTTCGAATCCACTTCGCACCCACTTTACTCTCTCGAAGGTATCGCAGCGTGAACGAGCCGCCTTCTCTTCCGGCGATTTCTTTCTCTCAGCGAGATCGAATGCCGAACGAGATTGGCTGGAGCATTTCCGAGGGAAATGTCGAAAGAATAAGCGATTGAAGGATGCTCGTATTCGAAAAGCGCGATCCGTTGCTGAAATTTTAATAGGACTTTAAAAGCGAGGAAGCGTTCGCCCGGCTACGTTTTAAAAGCTCTCTCCCCCTCTCTCTTTCTCTCTGTCGCGGTATTCCGTGTAGCGCGCGTTACGATTTCAGGCAGATCCGCACCTCCCACGTGGGTGGAATATGTTTCGACGGGACGCCTTATTTTGCCACCTGCAAAGGAACGTAACGTATAAAGCGCGTTTGCTCTCGGGGAAGAAATTTATTCGCACGTAGAGGAGTCTCGCGCAATCCATTTTTGGGCTCGCTCAGTACTTCTCTCTCCGTCCCTCTTTCGATTCACGCGCGCCGTTCGTTTTCAGTACCTTGGAACTTCGAAACTATCGATCT